TGGTCGGAAACCTACGTGTGGAGTTATTTTTAAGTTATCATAGCTAACTAAACTGAGAGACATTAATTCCAGTAAAACCTATACCATCTGAGAACCACATACTTTTCCTGTCTCTGGAACAGCACCCAGCTTAGTGGGACCATTAATTTCTGATATACTCGTTGATCTAACTAAGGTGGTGAAAGCTGTAGTGGCTATGAAAAACACCGCTAGCGTTGGTTTCTCGCTGAAGTTTATACAGTTATGCCTACCAGTTCTCGGAAATCAATTAGTACACATATTTAAGCTTTCAATCTCAACAGGGATTTTTCCAGTTCAGTGGAAAGTAGCCAGTATAACACCAGCATATAAAACAGGAGACTCATCGTTTATCTAAAATTATCGCCCAATTCCACTTTTATGCGTTGTAAGTAAGATTCTTGAGAAGATTATTCATAAGCAGTTGTTATCTTTTCTCCTCGACAATAGGTTGTTAAGCGCTATCCAGTTTGGGTTTAGACCGTCTTCTTTAACGTTAGATGCTCTACTAAGAGTTACTCACTTTATTTTTAGTAGCCTAAATAAGGCAAGTCCTAAAAAAGAGCATTGCATTGGGTTTTTGATCTGTCAAAAGCGTTCGATCGTGCATCGACCGACCTTCTACTAAATAAGTTAAAACTACTTGATGTCGACGGGAGTCTTCTTAATTGGTTTTCATCTTATCTTACAGGGCGCACTCAGTTTGTCAAAATTGGCGAGAGCTTTTTCTCCCAGTCACTAGTTCTCTCAGGGGTACCAGAAGGGTCCATCCATGGCCCTTTACTTTTTATTTTATTTCTAAACGACTTTCCTGCGCCAGTTTCGTCGTCTGTGATAGATAGCCTTTTTGCTGATGACCGTTTTGTGGTTCTGTTGTTCAAAAAACGGAAAACATTTCTGTTATTCAGAATTTAGTTCAAGCTGAAATAGACAGAGTAACAGACTGGTGTGAAAAAAATTATATGTCACTCAAAGTTGACAAATGTTCATACACTTACTTTTCACTTGATCCTAAAATAAAGCCCGATTTCAAATTAACTCTATTAAACTCGAAACTCTTGCTCGATACCGATCCTAAACTTTTGGGTATGCGTCTTTCTCACGATATGAAATGGGCAATACATATTTGCGAAGTAGCAACATCTTGTCGGGAAATGCTCAGTGTTATTAATCGAGTTTTCGGAGAAGCACCTCAGTCAATTCGCTTAGTTTTATATCTTACTTGCGTTTTACCCATAATCGATTACTGTAGTGCACTTTACGATTCTAAATTCACCACCCATCTTGAACCATTAGAGGCGGTTCAGTGTTTAGCAAGTCGCATTATTACCAGAAACTTCAATTACAAAACTGATAGTCTATCTCTAGTCAATAAACTAGGTTTGTCCAATCTCAGTGTCAGACGCCAGTACTTTCGACTCATATTATTTTACAAAATTTACAATAACTTGACTCTTCTCGAATCTCAGGTTTATCTTACTAAATTGACTTCTAGGTCTCTCCGAGCAGCGCATTCTTATACTATCGACATACCCTTCACTCTTTTCGAAACTGTCCAGTCATCCTTCTTTTGGAGGACTGCAGAGGACTGGAATGCTAAAGGTCTAGAAAAGGTCATTTCCATCAATTCTCTCCAAACCTTTAAAAAGGCTTTAAAAGAACATCTTCATATTTAGTAGTTCTCTGTCTCACATCTTCTTTTTCATCATTTTTTGCTATTTTTAGTTGTTAGTCATGATAGGCAGAAACTTTGAATTAAATGTTTTTTTGTTCTTTTTTTCTGTTACAAGCCATTCTTATGTCTGAACTTTTTTTTATGTACCATGGTATGTTACCAAAATAAAAAAGAAAGAAAGAAACAAAGAAAGAAAGCGTTCTCGGACCTGCGCAGTTTTGTAGAGGACACACTGAGCAACTGTTTACACCATGTAAACATGGATGTCACTATGGAAAACAAGTGAGCAACGATGTAGTCTTTTAAAGACCTGTCAGATACACCACCTGAAATCCGAGTTTTTCTAACCTCCATAGATGAGTAGATAGAATAAAGTCTCTTCTACACTACACAACGATGAGAGCCAGAACTGTCTATCACTTCTCGTTTTCGAGATATTAAAAAGATGATGGAGTCCATTCTATTTTTAAATGGACAGTAGAATGTGAAACTTCTCATAATAATATCACGCTAAATAATGCTGAACTAATATTTTGGAAAATATTTTGTAAGGTAAAATAAATTGTTTTTAATAACGATGAAAAAGTAAATATATTTTATTTTTAATTTAATGCTTTTCTTATTGGGTTTAGCATGAAATAAACATATGAAGCCATGTAAGCGAATAGAACTATAATACAAAACCACGCTGAGTTTCAATTGTGAGCCAATATTTTGATAAATCTGGTTCAATAAAAAAATTAACAGAGTGTTCATACTGTTTTAAAATGGTATCCAGACATTTGTTTTTTACTCATTCAAGTTGAGATCTGATCCTATTTTGTGTTCTACTGTAGTTCTATCTTCTTAATCGAGTAGAGTTCATGTAACTCATCACATGTCTGCCTATTACGCACTAAATTGTTTGTCCTAGCTGTTACTATTAGTATGAACCATGCATGATTCGTTCGAGTATCTACAATATTTTAACTGTTTTCTATTAGATTCACTCAGAAACACCGTCAATATATCCACCTGGAAATAAATGTTTTCAGTCGACTTTTTAAATTTATTATATATATAGAAATATATTTTTCAAAAAGTAATTATATATTCTGGAAGCGCTCGGAATTCTCTATTAGTCTCTGCTTTCCCAACCTAGATTTGCTGGCAAAAATTTGAATATTGTTAATGTCACCTATCACATGTTCGAGAATTGTAATGGATGCGGTCTCTCAGTATTTTCTACTTTTCACGTATTTCTTTAGGATCCAAAAGTTAGATGCACCCAAAATACTCTACAAAACCATACCTAAACTTTAATTTCAGAACGTCAATCAAGAAAATTACGCAGATTATACGAAAAAAAATGAAAACTTTGAAAACCTAGTATTTTTTTCCACTTGAATTTATTTCTTCTGCTATTATTTCCGTAAAAAAGGGTTGCAAAAGTGAGAACTCAGTTCTTTTTGTACTTTTGAATGCCCTCTTTCTCGTGGTCTGTAAAAAAATTAGTTGAAGTGAGAGAAAAAAGTTAGTTGAAGAAGCATGAAATGCAACCTATGGGAATGTGATACGTCGATACATTAACAATATTCTAAATATTTTTCAGCAATACTCTTGTAAAAAGTTATTTCTCTATTCATAATAAATTTGAAAAAACGACTGAAAAAGGAATAAAAAATGCAGTTTGTAGGAATCTGACAATGACGGTGCCTTCATTATACCCGAACTATTTTTCAGCAAATAAGTGCAAGTCAAGACATAAATATACAAGTGATGGAAAATTTTGAGCGCTTTCAGAATATATCTATCTATATATATACACTCCCACTTCGGTAGCAGAGTTACACGATTCAGCTTTGACTCGTGTCAATTATCAATGTTTGAAGATATTTAAAGAGCTCAGGTATGCAACTATCTGTGATTATTTCAATGTTCAGGTATGCAAAGTTGCTTGGGTATCCACGCTGGTATCGATAAGAATAGATTTAGCGTTCAAGAACCATAACAGCAACCTGTTCTCAACGATGGAAAAAGTATTCAAACTTTCTATTAGGATCGACAATTTATGATAAAAGGTTTGCAATTTCTAAGACTATTTCTATTTGTCGAAAGTAAAACGCGACTGAAAAAATCTCGATTGTATCATGTAAAAACCAAAATTGTACATCTTCTTATCCGTTACACGATCGTAGTTTGAATATTATCACTGAAAACAGTGACGAGAAAATCAATTTTACAGAATGTATCCTCCTATTATTTTTCGTGTGTAATCAATTTCAGACAAGTAAGCAAGCAGAAGAAAATAAAGAACGTAACAAATATCTTAATTAAAAAATCAAATTATTAGTTGTAGATATCGCTTTTTTCACGTGACATACAACCTCACACATTCGAGGGCCCACTACATACACTTGACTATTAAATATAAGTCTGTTGAATCCAACAATCAAATTTTGATCTTTAGATACAAAAAGACAGTTTTTGTAATAGGTAAAAGTATATGCAACGTTTTGTCCACTTATTTTACTCTATTTGTTTCTAAGTGACGTGTGTACTTAATCCACTCTCACACATATACATAAAATATTATTTAATATATTTTCAAGTATTTTTCTATAACAACGTTTAGAAATATTTAAAATAATAAACGCAGAAGAGATAATATATTAACAAAGTAAAAATAATTCAACACTCTTACTAATCGATGAAGAAAAAAAATATGACCTTTTATTTTAAAAAAATACACAGCACATCGAAGTGGATGAATGACAGAATTTTCATCATTTCTCGAGTGATGAACATCTATATAATAGAAAAACAATGAAATTTATACTGTTTCACTTTTCCTTTGTAACAATGCAAGTAAAATAAACTTTCTTTTTTCTTTTTTGTTTACTTTACAGTGTTAATGAGCCACTGCATTTTTTCACTGCTGCTTTTCCACTGTATTATTTACATGTCGCTATCAAAATTGCAAACGATTGTAGAAAAAAAAAAGAAATTATTTTAATGTTTATAAGCACACATATTATTCGTTGAAGTTTATAATGATCGATTTACACATCTAGACATGTGGAACAGATAATTTTATCAAAAATTTGTTGTTGTTGCCGTTAAAGTAAAGTTTTATCTCTTTCACATGAACAATACATGCCACCGTCTACTCTGTTAAAACAGGACTTTATAGTGAGAAAATATAGTGTTCTATGTGAAACAACAGAAAATATTAGAGATTTGAATATTATTGCTGTCCTTCGTACCATTTAGTTTTAAACATATACTTCCAATAATCATTTTTTAATCTTTTTAGTGTGACTGATCAATGGCAACCTATTCGACTTTACCACCAAGCAGCTATTCAACGCTTGGCTCACAAGGAAATTTATATCAATCGGCAAGTTACGGTGAGAAAACCTTGTCATTTTGTTTTCTAATTGTTTTTTTAAAAAACGAATGTATTTTAGGGCCATATAATAGCGATGTTACATCTCGTCCCTATCAGCAGCCCCCCTCGATTGGAGGTACTTCTAGTCAACAGCAACCATACAGTTCAATGAATCAAGACGACCAGTACCCTTCCGATTACTCACAATTCCCACAAACCACAACATCTATGAACTATGGAACACCAAATAAATACCCGCCAGCATATCCACCGTCACAGCAACAAAATCCTTACACTAATAATGATATCGCGCCAAAATATATCAATAATGGTCAAAACGGCGGATCGACCACTAGCACACAAAAGAAAACATTGGACAATCAGCATGATAAACGAGATGATAGTCTAAATGAACCTCCAATAACTCGTAATCAACAAATAAACCTTGTGCGTTCAGAACATCAAATTCCGAATCGAGATCGCTCGAAATCACAACCTCGCCATTCGCCGAACAATGGAGCGCCTAATACTTCCGAGAATTCTCACAGTAATTTTGAAATGAAACCGAATAAGTCCAGTATGATGAGAGCGGCAGCTAATAATGTAAAATTGGCTAATAAACAAAAACATGAAAAGATTGCAACAAGGAAAATTGAAGTAAAGGTACCACAAAGATCTACTCGAAAAGGAAATAATACAGAAAATGATATGACAGATAGTGAGAAAGTTTCAACTTCTAAGAGCAATACAGAAAGGGAGACAACAAAGGATAGTAAAAAGCGAAATGATACGCAATCAAGAAAGAGTCGAAAAGACGATTCTTATCCGACAGATCACGTTGAGAGTTCCATGGATGAACAGGATTTCGATAATCCAAATCAAAAACGAAAAAACGTCACGAACGGGAAAGGGAAGCGAACAACGTTCAATAATGAACCACATTATTCCGATTCTTATCTGTTGAAAAACGGTTCGTTACCACCACTTCGTCGTAAATATCCACATGACTACCCTCCCTATGATCGTCCTCCGTATCGTCCTCCTTATGATGATTACAGTTACTACAGACATCCGTACGATCGATCATTTCCACCGGCTTATGGATCGTTTGATTATCGAGGACATCATCCTTATTATCCCGATTATCCTCCTTATTTACCGTATGAACGTGATGCATACGATCCGTTTTTCGATTATGAAAAACGATCGAAGCCAAAACGCTCAAAATCTAAACATCAAGAGGAGGAGGATGAACGCCACCAACACGCTCATTCAAATAATAATCATAGTACCCATGAGAAGCATGAACAAGATCATGACGATACAACGGCAAAAAGTCGCGATAAAAGTCGTGATAAAAGTCGAAAAGGTGAAAAAGATGATACAATAAGTCGAAAAAGCAATAGAATAATATCGCGTGAAGAAGATGAATATCGTCGCCAATGGGAAGGACATTATGATCCATACTATGGTGAGCATGATATGCTTGAATTGTGGAGAAAAGAACGAAATGATTACTTAAAGAAAAAATTTAAACCTACTATACACGATGTTTTATATTCTCAGCAATGGATGAAATCAGGTAAATGAATACTCTTTATCGCAGAAGAAGAGAAAAAATGTATACATTTTTAAGTAGAAAACATGAAACGACATTTTCGTAACTATTCTTGCTCTCTCAATCAAGACAGAAGATAACTCTGTGTCATTATCAATATTAAGAAAAGTATAACTACAGCAGCGCTTCTTAATGAAAATTTTACCAATTACAAACAAAAACATTATCAATATTATTATTTTGCTGTTTAGATAGTTATTTGGAAAATCAGCGACGACGAGCAGTACGAGATGCACAAGGATACTATTTTCCCTATCGAACTTACACATTAAAAGATTACAAAGATTTACAGAAAGCTGATCATCAAAATCCATTTGCATCGCTAAATGAAACAGCGATCGATCGTGTATGTATTTCATAAATAAATTATTATATTTCATTAGATTTTGATACTTTATATATGTTTTTTTGTGTTGTTTTTCTAGAAACAACGTGCAAAGAAAAGGATAGATTATGGAACACAAATTGAGAGATCCGTAGTTGAAAATCCTGTAAGACATCGGAATAATAATAAAGAAGATGATACCCCAAGAAAACCATGGCATTTGTCGAATGGAGATATCAATGAATCAGAACAATCAAAACGAGAACGAGTAATATAATAAGATTTTTTTAATCATTACAAATTATGAATTATTTATCGATTTTATAGGCTCTTGAATATGCTAAAAATCGTGTAGTCAAATCAAGAAAAAGCCAAAAACATGAAAATGATAATGGATTTTTTGCGGACGGAAATGACGATGTTTCCCGTAGGTATAGTCAATAAAAGTAATACATCAATTTCAAAACATTTTATATAAAGATCAGATCTTGCCTATCGTAATTTTAGTAAACGAAAATAATAGTAAAGGAAATCAATCAGAACACGATGGTGAACAACAATGATCCAACAATTTTAAATATTCGAATTTCGTTATAATTAGAAATTTGTTTAGACATTTTTCTATGGCATGAACGAGAAGATAAAGAGAGGAAATAATTTTTTGCTATTCTCGTATTTCTCCGTAAAGATATGTCTGTTTTTATTTTTTTCTATGTTTGTTCATTTTTATTGTTTATATACTAAAAAAAACAAGAAAAAAAACATCTATTTCATGTTGAAAAGTAGAAAGAAAGAGAATTCTTGTATAGTTGATCCTTGAATGTAAGACGTGGATTTTATACCGATAATTAAAGTTATGAAACGATTAATTAACAATGTGTAAATTTTTTTTATCCATTGTTATGTTGTGAATAAACTTGAAAAATTATGCTACTAAAAAGTAATAGATCTAATAACCATTGATTCAGCCAGTATTGAGTGTTTAATTCACTTACTGCTCTATAATGTATGTGAACACATAGTCTGATTTAACCTATAATTACAGAAGTAAAAATCTCTTTGAAGTATGATATACTTCAAATGAGGTAACGAGGTCAGAAAAAATATGAAACTATTCATATACTGAGCGGTTCTAAGTAGAATTCCAGTAGACACTGGAATTTAAGCAAACAAGGGTATTGTAGCAATAGATTATAACGGCAGAATCTCATTAGACACAATCGTGTTATCTGACAAATCGGTTTCATTACATTTTAAATTTTATATTTTTTTACCGTGTGAAAAATCACGTTCAACTAAATAGTGTGTACATGAAGAGAAAAGAAAGTTAGCTTATTAAGATGATGGTTTTTTTTTGTATTGGCATTCCTATGTTGTTTCAACTGACTTTTCCTTTTTTTTTTGCTTTGTGTAAGCGTGTAATGCCATAAATCATTGTATTTTTCCTGAAATTCTATTCGAATAACATTATTGTTTCCGATTTTCTCTTCACTGGAATGTTTTGAATGTGTACATAACGGAAAAACAGCTTTAATAAATTCGGAAATACTTACTTATATAAAAAATTTATTCTCTTCATAATAAAAAAGAATCTCATTCCGATTTTAAAGGTAAATTTAGAATCGTTATTTCCAATGATGATTTGAACATTAAATACTCATGCCATTTTTTTAACAAAAAACGTGTTGAATATCAGCACTTAAAATCGGTATTTTTATGTTTTACATGCGTTTCTATAGGGAAGAAATGGAATGGGATGTGTTGATATCACTATTAATATTTCAAATATGTAACTGTTCATCAACAAAATATGTTAAAAATTCTCGAGCATGCAAAGCTGAATTACGATGTGGTGGTGAGTATTGCATATAAACCTTCTTTACTCCTTCGTCTTAAAAGAACAAAACTATTCTGGCACAACTGACATAAGTTTTAGATCAACGACATCCTAAACATAACATACTGGTTCTTGTTCAGAACGACCAAATGAGAATATTGATGATATCATTTTTGCTCTAAGATTAGTCAAATAAGATAGTCGTACGTTATGACAGGGAGGAGATCCGTCCGATTCGAACATACAGATAAGGTGTACCACTAAGAAGAACATAAATTTCCTGTTAATATTACCTCATTGCTGCGCCTAATGTGTTTTAACTGATCACTCCTTCGTCTCACATACATTAGTCATCAGTTTAATCATGACGAGATTACTAATGCTGTTATTGTTAATAACATTATCTTCTCATATAATGCACGTGTTGCTGTTCTAGAAAATTCCGAGAGTATGTCAGTCAGTGTTGTGGGTTTTCGTGGAGTGCCTGGTGATCCAGGGCAAGCAGGTAAATAAATCTTAGTTTGTTGTTGTTCTGATGGTGTTTTCATTATTCAGTACTATTGATTTTAGGAGAAAGAGGCCCACCCGGTATTCGTGGATTACCTGGTCCAAGAGGTGAGCGAGAGGTTGAAATATTACACGTTGTTTGGTCGTACTACATATGTTGACATTATGATAGGTCGTGATGGTTATATGGAAAAACCAGCCTCGTTTTTCGCAACATTACCTCAATTATTTTTTACCAAAGATGTTGATGGTATAATGAAACCATGGGATATTCCTGAGTTTCAAAATGCACCAGACGTGTCAAATTACTTTTCACAATCAACTGGAATATTCACCGTGCCAACTGACGGTGTCTATCAGTTTTTTTTGACTATTAGCGTATCGAGGTCGAAGGTCAGATATATGTTGTCAAGTATAAATTGTATTCTAAATTCTTTTTTATTTTTCAGGCTTCTGTTTGGATTGCTTCGAATGGTGAAAAAATTCGTACAATATGGTCAGTATTTTTGAAATACTTAGAGAATATAGATAATAGCATATCGTTTTTGACTTTAACAGGGTCGAAGGCGTTGCATTGCATGGTAACACGACCATAGGTGTCGGATGGGCATCAGCATCAATCGATTGTATTATTCGTTGTAAAGCTGGAGATCGAATATATACTGTAGCTGCATATCGTTCACAAGAAAATTTTAATTCATACGTTTACGGTTATTCGTACACAACATTTTCTGGTGTTATGTTATTTCCAAGTTAGAATGATATTCGTTCCGTTTAACAATAGATCGATTCTGTTCTGTTATGAAATAGATGTAAATCAAAACTTGTCTATTAAGGGATAAAGCAACAATGATGCTGAATCGATAAATTGTGAGGCGGCACGTTTTAATTTATCTTATCATCAATATCAAACAGTGCTAATTATACCACTATGTTCAACGCAAAATAATTATCCCTATATAAATTATCTGTTTTGATAGTTACCCACAGAGATTATTCAGAGAATAAAAAACATTGTTTAGGTGTAGTATTAGTTTTTAATTAACTAAAAATAAGTGCAAAAATTCAACATGGAAATATTAAATATAGTCTTATTTGGTTTTAAATGAAATGTAACATTTAGTTTTTCATACAATAATCAATAAGCATATGGTTTTTTATGATATCTAAATGTTTTGAGTGTGTAAGTTTTTTCTTCTTCTTTTTATATATGCACATGCTGATGTTTAGTCACACAACACCATCTTACAACTGCTACTTCATAGGAGAGACACAGAACATGTCGTTCTTCAATAGATTTAAACTGATATGAATTTTATCAATTTTTAGCATCAATTAATTTTATTATTTTGTTTTTCTCTTCATGCTGATAAGAATATTTATATATATATATATACAAACGAATGTGAGTATTCGATTTCAGGTGAAATTTTATGCTGATAATGCATAATTGAGCGTTAAATATTTGATTGTTAAAAAGATAACAATATCTAGCATTTACTACATTCTAATTTTCAATTTATTCCATCTTCAGTAAAAGGTAGCAGCACAAATCATGACTCTTTGGCACAGTTTTTTTTCTTTCTTTTAAAACACCATTACTTAACAATACGATATTTAGATCAAAGAAATCAGTGACATTTTGATCAACCTATGTATGTAGTTGATGGTCTAAGCTTCTTATTTTCATCACAGAACAGATGGCAAGCAAAGCACGATGTGTTCTACTGTGGAGAGAAAAATTTCGACATTTTAAGGAAAATATCGTTGGTTATTCTTTCTTTGTTAAAAGCGAAATGCATTATCTATCTACTACTACTAGTATTTATAGGCCAGCAAACAACAACAAAGAAAAAATAAAAGGAACTGTTCTCTATATTACATAGAAAAATTAGAAACACATATGTTTTTTCGATATTGTTTTGACATCAAACAATATTTCTAATGATGAATTTCTACCTTTCTCTAACGTTCGGTTATGCATCAACAGAAAGAAATTGTGAAATTTAACAAGCAATTGATGTTCCATCTCATTGAAAACTCTTGTTGATTGTCATTAGCACTTGTACAAGATAATAGGCGTTGATAATCAAGAAATTATTCTCAATAAACCCATCATTTTCTGATGGTAGATGATGATGATAATGATGATGATGGTAATTCATGTTATTTATAGAGAAAATCGCTAATTTCGAATCAAAAAAAAGATGCTTTAGGACAAAGATCGAAGGTTGCTTTCAAACATGAACATCATTCGGTGATTATAATAAGTCCTACCCTTTGGACTAGTTTCTTCTTTCAATAATAATAGAATCTGTTAATCGTTTCTTATTTAAAGTATGCACTTCGTAAATTCTAGAGCATCCAAATAAATTTTATGTTAAACAACGATATATATATATATCCACAGGTGGTAGAAGAAAAAGAAAATCGAATTGTATATACATACGCGCATGCATACATAGAGAAACGCAAATTCAAGATATTATTCTTATTGGACCTAAATGATTTCATCGTGTGGTAGTGGTAGTGATGGGATGTTATTATTATTATTATTATTATTATAATAAATATCATCTGGTTATCATTTCCAGAATAAAAGCGTTATAGTTAATTAAACGCAATATCGAGGACGAGTTCATTCGTTCAATAAACCGTAAATGTAAACGATAGATACAAAAAAAAGAAGAGAAGTCGGCTTTTCGTTGAATGTATGTATGTGCATTATGACTGTCTATCTCAATCCTCATGAGACTATTGAAAATTATCTTAAGGCAATTGGTTGGTGTTTGTTTTTGTTTATGGTATACGAATACATATCCAATTTAACGAACAAAAAAAAATATCTTGATATACTAATCCGAATGTTGTTATAAATGAGATCGACTATTACTGTCACCGCCATTATCTTCCATCATATTGTCATCTTCTTCTTCATCTTCATCAAAATAGGCTTTATCTAATTTTCGATTTACTTTATCAATTTTTGCTAAAACTGCACCACGAACACGTTTGAATTTCATTCGACGATTTTGAAACCAAACTTTAACCTAAAAAAATAAAAATTGATTATATATTTTCTACATTTGATAATATAAATGAAACTCACTTGTCTTTCTGTCAGTGCAAGAGCAACAGCTATTTCGTATCGTCTTAAACGTGTTAAATAATTATGTTTTAAAAATTCTCGTTCCAGTTCGCGAATTTGAGCTTTAGTGAATGCTGTTCGCTCTTTACGAGGTTTTGATAATGTACCATCAGGTGGCGTAGTCGACTCGTTCGAAGAGGATGCTAAAATAAAATTGTTAAAATTGAAGTCTTGAAGTTAAAGTTTCTTTAAAATCCCACAAATTTTCTTTTAGAAACGCAAACAAAACAGGAAAGAGTGGAATATATTCATAATCAACTAACTTGATGAAGATGCTTTTGGACTTGATTGTGTATTTGTTCGTTCATCAAAAATTTTATTTTGTTGTTGTTGTTGTTGTTGAGGTGTCTGTGTAAGACCGATTCGAGATGTAGTAGATAAATGTAATGGTAAAAGTGTTGGCACCACTGGATGGTTAAAATGTTGACTATTTCGTTGATCACAATTAATTGGGTTAAAATTAAATTGAGTTAAATAAGCGGCGGCTGCTGCTGCTGCAGCTGCAGCATTAGTTGTCGTTGACGAAGGAGAAGTGAATGAATTTGCTTGCTTTTCTAACAGACATAATGATGTTGATTGTTCTTGTTGAAGGTGTTGCTGCTGTTGTTCATCGTTGGCGTATGACGTTGTTTGATGGTAGCCCATATCTCGATCTGTTTCGTTTCGATACTTTAATGCTTGTGTTTGAGTAAGCCAGCAATCGTGTGGTGAATAGGCATTGTTTATCGATGGTGAACCAAACGAGGGATTATTGTAGCAGAGTGATGGTCTCATAGCTGCCATATGACCGTACGAATGAAAACGATAGTCCATTGGTGAATAACCGTGTATATACAATCGTTGATCCATTTTGATATCAATTATTTCACTATTATCTCATTTTGTATTGAATTTAAGCACATAGTAAATCAAACAAGTTTCTAATTTATCACTCGTACTCCTAGTATAAAAAACGACAAGTTTTTCAAAGATACTGTCTTATTAGTATTTACTTGATTTCATGATAGAAATAAATATCTTTCAAATTCTTTTGACTATTTACTATTATATATAGTGATCTTGTTCATCATGTACATCTTTAATTAGTAGAATAATGAGGTGACACTCTGTTTATCAGAGCCTTTATACTAGAAGCTTCTAGTCAATGGATCGTACTTCTACGCCCCCCGTACTCATCCGATCTCACCAGACGAATATAAAATTCCTTTCATATTCATATAACGGTTTATTGCTCTTCTCTAATATTACGTACGTTTTTAATTTTGTAAGATAACACGAAAATATTCTTATTAAATTAACATAATCATTAATAATTTAATTACTACTAAAATCGTTTTACACGTTGTCAAACCGTTTAACATATACATAGAAAGAGAATATTATAGATAATAATTAGCACAAATCGAAATGTCGGTACATCTTCTAGTGTTTTCTTTCTAGAATGACGCATAGTGATTTTAGTGGCTCTTCTTGTTCTTTTAACCAATGAAGGAAACATTGTATAAAAATAAAAGAACCAATGAAAAAAAACAACAGCTCTTCTCCTTTTCTGTTATCTGTGTGTCTATCAATCTATCGCATGAATCATTTTTTTATCTATCTTTCAACTGTCGATAATTCGTACGGTGATCAATGTTCATATACAAATGGCAGAAAAAAACAACCGAACACTTGGTTCACCACTGCCATTTTCGAAAAGAATTAGCAGAATTTATAAATATGAACTAATATTTGACTGTCTCTTTGATCGCATACTCACTTAAACAGCATGTTCTCTTTGATGAAACACGGTGAGTAGAAAATATTCTTGTTTGAAGAAGATACTTGAAAACTTACTCAACCATTTTTATTTTTCGTAATATTAGTTTTCACACTTTTATCATTTTCATGTGAATATATGTTTTTTTTAAAAATAGATTGAAGAAATTCACTTTTTTTGCTACAAAATGAAAATTAAAGTTATTAGAGACTATTTTTTTACTTAGCATAGAATCAATCGAATCAAATTCGACAAAAAACCATTTTGATTCTGAAAAATATTTCTGCAGTCGCATCAGTATCTATAAAAAGAAAAATATCACAAAATATGTTGAAATCTAGTCGTTCATCTCATGATGAATTATTACCTGAAATGTGATGATTGGTCTTTGCAGTGATAAAAAAAGAGTAAACTCAATTGAGGAGATCAAGCCCAGGTTGGTCAAGTCATACAGCATGTTTAATTAAACTAATTGTTAAAGTTAAACGGCATTAATGTAAAAAATCTCGAAAACAATAATCTACTGGGATGATTATTTTATCGTATATCTTTATAAAATAAATAATTTCCACTTGCAGTTAAATGAATTTGTTTATTACTGTAGCTGTTGGTCTTCAATTTTATCTAGTGATCGTTCTTATTTCTGCGTCCATCGCGCCTTCAAAGTTTGAAATAATTAGCATTCTTATCGTCTTAATCGTCTCGAAATGAAGCTTCTTTCTGCAATGTTTTAAGGATTAATAAACTAAAATAATAAAATCTTTTATTTGAGACAGTTTGACTTCAGCATATTATAGGACGGACACCACGGTATTTCAAAATGAATATTGTCTATCTTTTAGGTTGAATTTGATCGTAATTGTTCTAGCTGTCCATGATTGTTATTGAACTCAATCTGAAATCGTATTAGTAATGATGACTGCTCATGCACACGTAGTCCTTCAGCTTCTACTAATACAGTTCGTATCATCATCATATCATTCAACACAGAAGCATTAAATGCATTTGTCATAACTAAAAAAAATGATTGTGAATCATTTATATATCGTTCTTATTGATACAAGGGAGTAAGACATTTTTTTATGACATAAGAAATGGCAATGAGCCCTTGAAGAATCTTCTGAAAATTTTTAGACAAGAAATGTATCGATCAAAAAGTTCATGTCGGACAAGATTTTACGAAAATTTTCACAATTCTTAAAAGAATATCTAGAACGATGGATAATCAAATTTAATGACACACTGTTTACTAATGAGAACACATAGAATTCATAAAGAAAATTCAACAATGTAGCAGTCTACAAACAGTTTACGTCTAAAGCAATGGTTAGATTTTGCCTAACAAATTCACTGCTAATTCTTACGTAAAAAAGTCGAACTTTATTCTACGTTTTTCTCTTGTCTTACGCAATAGCTTTTAGTTATTGACAGAGAGGATATTGTGTTTAGTAAAAGTGGAAAAAGAATTCTTTCCAGAAACGAAACTACTGCTCATCACAGCGAATATTTCTTTATAAAATGTAGTACACTGATCGTTCCTCTGCACTTTTTGCTGTTTATGTGATAAGGAAATGCCATTTACTTAGGAATAGAACTTTGTATTTTATTTGGTTATAAGAATACATATGAAATAAGTGTATTTGTCAGTGATTCTTATTGTTTCTATATGCGAAGTTGACAGTTTCATCAGGTAGGAACGATTCGAATAGTGAAAATTCTGTGGTTGTTGTTGTACAGAGAGCGAACGGAGTACCTCTTTAGAGAGACAAATAAAATTCTCATAGAGTAACATTTATGTAACATTGAACGTTTTCTAAATAAATCGAGGTACACATAAGTTGTCTGTGAAATTCTTGACTGCTATATTTTTGGAAGGCGCGCTAGATAGGTACCGCCCAATGTAGACAATGGACAAATGTATCTAGCTATGACCCAAAATATTTACATCATATGAACTTTAGTTAAAAAAGAAATACTTGAGAACAAAATCGAAATATAGTTTCATTACAGTGTTCAACAATCTGTAAACTATATCTGTGTAATATAGTAACCTCAGTTCGATATCTTAGTGAAAACAAGAAAAGGGTAAAAACATATAAAAAACACAAGAACAACAAAGAACGGAGTCATTAATTAGAGTATATTACAATGACAAATTCAGTCAGATACAACATCAGGAGACGAGGGTAGGAGGGAATGGCTTTTAGAGGGTATGTGCTTAAGAGGAGTACATGAGTTACTAGGAAAGACATTTATTTGAAACGATCAGTACTTTTTATGTAAAGAGAGTTCATCTCATACGATTCTCACTTAGAATGATTAAAGAAAAATTACTAAGTATCTTCTTCTATAGCTTGTGATGGATTGAGTAAGATACAATGTGAGGAAGGAACGCATATTCGTTGATGGAAGATAAAATAAAATATAGGCCAGAAAAATCTACTCTAAGGCGACAAAACAGAGGTACGGCGAATAGTTGTCATCGAGTAATTAAAATTTCTTGACGTCAAACTGACTCTCAGTTCTCTCCGAAATATAGAGTGTCTCTTAATCACAGAAAATTGTGGTGATTTTTTTTATTTCCGAATCATAAAAGGAAAGAAGAAATTTTGAAATAAAGCACTTTTATCATTAGAGTCATACATTTATGTGGTAAGCATTACTACCTAAGATATGATGTGATTTATATGGCACCAAGCGAATATGATCAGGCACATACACGCGAACAAAAACATGTTCATGCGATTTACATCAAATAGATTTCTGTTAGAGAGCTATCCTAGTTCAACCAGTACTTTGTCAGTGTCCCTATCTCGCATTATATCCGTAACTGTTAACACAATTTGATATTAGGTGACTTGTAACTTATTCAAATTTTTTTCTGTAGTTAATGAATACAGCTCGCTACCATAACTAATTATTGACTAAAACTTTTATAAATAATGCCTAGTGCAGGTCTATTCACATTCCACAAAACGCATATAGTAATTAGTATAAAAGCTACGTAGTCCTTGACTGAACTCTTTTGATAAATATACATCTGATTTGTATAAACACAATGTATCAATCTAAAATATTTTATAAATATATTCCAATTTGATAAAACAGGACTAGTGTCTCCCATATCGTGTTGTGCATATATACAGAAATCGAGCTCTCTGTCCGTATCTTTTATACGATTTTATTAATCGGGATCGGAAACTTTGTTTTCTCCAACATCCTTTAATTCAAGTCCGAAATAAACATTTTTCTTCGATAACAGAGATGTATACGTACTAATATATGAACGAGAAATCAGGAATGAAACGATTCTATGCCATACGTGCAGTACTAGTTTAATATCATCGTCTGCAACCACGGTCTCTAATTTAAAAGATAGAAGCGGTATTTTCAGTACAGTTTGTCTTCATGTAATATTAATGTGGCTGCTTTACTATAAAATGAAGAATAGTACTATATTAATCGTATCGTAGAGATTCACCTCGTCTTACTTCACATATATAGTATAGACTCAAAATATTCGAGCCCAGTCCATACGGAGCTCTGATGCTAAGTAATAAACATGTGTTGACGAAAATTGATCTAGAATTTGTCTATCTTTAAGAACCGGAAGTGGAGAGAAAATGGATGAATTGTTATACGTTTGAATTATTATTTAATGATTTAACTTTAAAAGAGAAGATACTCTCATAACAGTACTAAGGCAAATGAATGAAGGATGTTTCAGGTCAATCTCAGAGATATAGTAAATATAGATCTAAAGGTTCTCAATCTACTCGTATCTATGAATTACCAAAGGTACACAAAGTCAAATGTCCTGTTCGCCCTATCGTCTTAGGCACTGGTAACTGTCATTTTGACATTGATAAATTATTGACAGCGCGAACAGAACATTTAAGACACCGTCCACATATTAATAAACATTTGTTTGAGTTTGTCAATATGATAAAAAAGCTACTAACTAACATGGTCGATGTACTGCTGGTGGATTTCGTATGCACTGAGTCTGGTGTAGCTATGAGTTCACTCCTAGCTTCAATATAGGCAGATATATTCATGACACATCTGGAAGACACATTATATAAAAGATTGAAAAATGCTGGATTTGAATTATATAAACGATATGTTGATGATACTTTGTATGATTGAGAAATGATGTTGATATCAATATTATTTGAAAAATTCTAAACAGCTTTCACGAAGATATTCATTTCACATTTATCAAAGTGGAAAACCATTAAATCGCATTTCTAAATATTCTTGTGCAACAAAATGATATGTTATTTTCTACAACCATAAACAGGTAAACAATCGACGTTATTTGTACTGAGACATTACAGAGTTTCGGCTATTAGTAGTGTGACATACAAGCAATTGGAATATGTTCCTCATAGCAATTGATACATGACGAATTTGAATTTATTAAAAATATGTTAATCTCAAATTGATAGCTGGCAGTATTTATTTATTTATTTGACCCTCAAAGATCAAATTAAAAATACTCTTGCTCATTTTTATAGATTGAGAAAAGCTATTGCATTTATCTACTAATAATAACTCAAAACTACATACAAAACAGGATGAATTGATTATGATAGGTATACCGTACACAAAATTATTAACCAAAATTTTTAGCAAAGTTTGAGAGCATTAGCGCGAAACAATCAGACCCAATACTGAAATATTAACTATAGTTGACCTCTTCTATTGTCCAGAAAAAAAACGAATGGCCTATGCGCATTTTCATAAGGCAAACTCATAGCACAGTCAAAATTGATGCAAACTACGTCAGAATATCAAGATGTGCTCAGCTTTATCTGAAATATATCCTGGACTTCAATAGAAGTTCTAAAAACGAACAAAGAATACTTTGGTTTTGACAAGGTTTTCTAGAAATCTTCAGAAATAACGGAGGATTTTTAGTTATCTTAAGCACAGAATCAGATTGAGCAGACAAAGTCGAGTACATCTTGATATTCTGACGTAGTTTGCATCGATTTTGGCTGTATTATGAGTTTTCTAATTTTACGCGAAAATAGGCAAAAGTCGGATATTTCACCTAATTTAGGTTTTGACTAGGGGTTTAAATTTTTTTCGAAAGCAAACATTGCCACAGTCGATTATCTATGTTTCCATTCATTCTCAAGATTACCACGCCTAAAGAAATTTCGATCATAGGGCCTCGAGGAGATTCGATACCGCGTCTAAACCACAAGAGATAAAGACGTCACTTAGTTCCCATTTTATAAAATATACTATGAAATATCTTTCCATAAAAAAAAATAGTTAGATTCTTATATAAACGTTTTCGGTATGTAAGGATGCAATCCAAAATTGTATACAAAGCCAAACATCTTGACTGTGACGTTATATATGTTGGAAAAATATCAGAGCAAGATAAAAGGAGATTTGAAGTAAGATAGTTCTGATCTGCAGTGATGTTCAAAGACAAAAATTATGATAGATACGCAAACGAATCTAACTCAATGTTTGAGACAATCATAAAGACTACGACAAAAACCAGATAGATATGGATATTCAGACAACAGTGATGGGAGGGAAACTGACGAGGGAAACTGTCCCATGTCGCACTTTTTTTCGTAGTACCGCCGGTTACCTAGCGGTTTATAGATTACCCCTGGTTAACCATACCTTTCGATATAACTACCTGTTTAGCGACGGTTACCGCACGATATTTTCCAGACCGTGGTACAAGAAAAAACCGTCGGTAAACCGTTTTGACACAATCACTTTTTTGCTTTGCGGTTAGCAGTCTGTATAAGAAACGCAGAAAAGTCAAAAAACTTTGATTTTTTTTTTAGATTATAGTTTGCACTTCGACTGGAGTCAAGTTTTTCCCGTTCGGACACCTCACTGCACTGCATACGCAATGCAAAAAATACAAAAAAAAAGAAAGCTGAGAACTAGATTCGAATTCCTATACTCTTTGCTCAGATTGATAAAATACCGGTTGAGACCGCTGGTACAACCGACCCGTATACCGCGCGGTTCAGCGGTAATTTCAGCTCCACTGATGGTATACCGGAGAATGCAGCAGACTGGTACTGGAGCGATCATCGAGCGGTATTTAATCGATTTTGATGACATGGGTAATCTGACATCAAATAAATATTGTGCTATTATATGTTCACTCAAAAAACATGAGCAAGAAATCAATCATCATAGATTAAAAAAATTGGAAAATTATATCTAAAGATAGCGGACGATATTGTCTTCTAATGAGAGAATCTATGGCTATAATAACAAGAAAATCTATTATAAATGCCATTATGAGATCTGTTTTATTAGTAGCATTTCCAGAAATATCTCAGATATCTAGTACACATATTTCGCTTAGTGGGGAGTTCTCTGATGATGATGCCATTTATGGTAACGGCTTCACTAGCTTTTTCACCTTTCTCATTACTTAAATTGGATTCCATCAATTACATCACATTTCCTGAGTAATTTTTCCAAAACAACAAGGCGATCACAGTTATCGGGAAAGAGAATATTCGCCATCTTTGTAAACTGTACCAATGTTGTTGTACGTTCTTGCAACACTTGGAAAACGCAACAGTCCCAAAGTCTTCAACGCAATTTGCTTGCAGATAATATTTCAATGCTTGAGAATATTCCCCTTAATCATTGTAGATCAGTCCAATGTTGTTTTAAAGCGCACCTATATAAGGGTCATTTGGCAACGTATTATTTATCAATCTTCTGAAATATCGTTTAGCTTTACCGTGTTCACCCATTTGTTTAATAGATTTCCCAACGTGTTTAAATCATTTGATTGAGCAGTTTCGTCTCTTATCTGTTCACTCAGCACTTTCAACTGTTCATCGCCTTCACTGGTCAGCAACAGTTTTACACTCCTGATTCCCGTGCCAGTTGCTTTTTCGACAGATTCTATTCGAAATATGGTGCCTATTGAAAAAAGTACTTCATCTTCGTCCTTCATAACGCTCAGTTCTTTTATATTAGCGTAGGGTTTTGTGTCAATACTCGTATTAATTTGAATTTCAAAGAGAATAGATTCAAGAATGGGACTCAACGAACCGTCTCCAGCAAGCATGAAAGCTACATCTTCCTTACATGTTGTTGATATAAAAGTATTCATTGAAATCAGTCTACCAATATTGTCTTTTAGCTCTTGTAATTCATCAACTTTTAAATGCTGTCCTCGATACACCGTTAGAAAGTATTCACCATCGGTGAAAGGTTCCATGATTTGCGAAGTAGAGCATCCATTAACAATTGATTTTCTACATAAATACAGCGCTTTCTTTGTCTAAATCACGAATTGATTTTTCATGGTGTGATAAACTAAACACATTCATTGGCATCATGTCGTTTGACAAAACTGTAGCATCATCAACTATCTGAAGAAGAAGAGAGTCTTTATGAGTAAAAACACCACGAATTTTATTTTGATTATTTAGTTGGTGATTAGCCCATGTTTCGGGCTTAATTTTATTTAGACAAAATATGTAGATAAATGTAATTTGAGATAGTTCGACGATGCGAGGAGCAATGATTTTACCGAATGAACCAGACAGAATTAGCAATACTTGCTTCATTTTAATTGAAGAGATATAATTGATACATTCATCAACATCACAAAACGTTCTTAAATGATTAGCAATTGTTCTTAAACGCTTTTTTGTGTCGTGGCAATCATCTGTTTTATCTATATCAGCGTCGAGCCAAATAACAGTAAAATTTTCAAGATTGTGATTGTTATCGTGAAACAGATGTGCCGCTGGTTCTCGCAGGAACATCTTTGTCGTTACCTAGAATGTAAACCGAGAACTGCTGAATGTTTATAATATCCATTGATTTTCCCGTGAATTACTCCACTTTATAAGTCATTCGATAGAGAATTTCACGAGCTTCAAAATGAACTGTGAATACGTCTTTCAAAAGTATGCCCACATTGGTCAATAGTTGAAATACTTGACCGATATAATGATTTTCACTTATCTTAGTGCTTTGAACACTCTGTTAGTCGTTTTTCTGCCATTTCTGAGTTATTATTACATTAAGCTGGAACCAATCTGAATAATGTTTTGAATAGCCGAAGATTTTCTGTCAGATGAGGTGAGTTTCTGCAAAAACATGACAGCTGAAAAACCAAGTGCTTAGATTTTGGTCAACCATTTTGGACCAAAATCTAAGGACTTGGTTTTTCATATTATAGGTTTTTTATATATATATTGGTTTATACACTAACTATTGATTTTACCAAACCATTTGTAATAAATCCAAAAGAACTACTTACAGTTCCATTATTTTGTAACACATCTAAGGCCAATCATGCTTAATTAACATTAGTGAAATCAATTGATAAATGCTCTGCACGAATAACAAACGGCGAGGATATGGAATTAGTTAAGAGCCAGCTTACAATTCTTTTGACGAGAATGAGCAAAATAGAAGATCAGGTAGATAGTAATAGAAATGAAATGCCAAGAACTGTAACATCTAGATCAACAACATATCCGGAAGTAACAAAACCGCATGTAGCACAAATATCGAATGAAGAAACAGTAGTAACAACAAACGAATCATCTGCTCAGTTGAAAATTACAACTCGACAAAATGCTAGGGCAACTAGTAAAAACCTCAAAGCACCGGCATCAAATTATAAGCCAAATTTGAAAACAGATTTTAATCGTGCATTGATTGTCTATTTGAAAAATCATACAACTCTAATAAAATATACAACACAAGAATTATTAACCAAGTTAGAGGCAGCCGCAGGACATCTTCAATTGAAGTGTAAGCCACAACTTTCTTATATTTATCCAAAAGGGGGACTGGTCTATCAATTTCTAAATAAAACGATACAAGAAAAATTAATAGAAGAATATCGAAATGAGAATTGGAAAGCAGATGCATTTAATGGCGATTATTCCGTTTACCAACCAGGAGCATCATCATCTCATTGCTTCGTAATAAAAAATGTTCCGACAAGTCTTGATATTGATGAAGCTGAATTTATAGAAAATAATACTCACATTGATTTTGAATTCAGTATTGAAAACTCACCTTGGTTAATTAAAAAGAACGTTTATCGAAAGTCTCACACAACGACAGTTAAAGTAGAAGTTATTGATGAAAGAGTTAAGCAAAAATTATTAGATTGTGAATGTGCTATTTAGCTGATAATCGATGTTTTATTGAAAATTTTAAAAGAATAAAAACTCCAACTCAATGCACTAATTGCTGGCGATTCGGTCATATACATCTGACATACCGATCAGAAAAACATTGTCTGAATTGTGGTGGTAAACATGATGTTGAAGAATGTGACTCAGAAAACCTAAAATATGCGAATTGTGGCTCGAATCATGCGGCGAATTCACTAAATTGTTAAAAATACATTGAAATCGCAGAAAAATTAAATAAAAGACCCAATGACTAGTCTCGCTATCGATCATAATAATAGCCAATTAAATATATTATCAGCGAATGCAAGAAATGTAGCACCGAATATGTAGTACCGAAATATTCAACTCATTGGTCAATCAACATTATTACGATTTTCTTATTGTATCTGAATACCATGATAATGCAGTAACAGCTGTTAAAAATGACCATTTATGTATGATAAAAAGGTGTGTAAAAGAACAAAATGGAGTATTAGTCTGCTTTAAAAAATCATTGAGCATAACGTGAGCAGTTGAATGTGAAACAGATCAAAACGATATAATAGTTTTGTTTGCCCACGCGAAACTGAAAATAACCTGTTTTATTGCTGTATATAGTCGTTCCGGTTGCCAATGTAATTAAATTTATTGACAAAATATACAAGAAAATAAAGAAATATACCGATCAGATTATTCTCATAGGGTATTTAAATGCAAGACATCAATATTGGGGCGTAAACAACACTGGTGGTAAAAAATGTTTTGAGAAAGTAATTGAATATGATCTGCAAATAGCCAATGAATTTGGAGTGCCTTCCTATTTTGATTCACAAGGATCTAGCAGTATTATAGATTTAACACTTCATACTGAAGAACTATTATTGTTTAGTCCAAAGTTTTCGACAGCGCTTTTCTTCCGTTGACTGGATAGCATTGCTAAACCAGTGCCCGGATGTTTCTTCGAAAAGCTGTTGCATGGTCTGAGAATAAAAATTGCTGGTAGCGTTATAACAAATAAATATGTAACTGTAGGGTCAAAAGATGCGCCATGGTTTAATAACGATTTAAGACTACTTCTGCGCAAGCGTGATCTTTTATATCAAAAATATCGTAGACCCTTGTATCCGTCTATTCATGCACTGGCAGCGTATGAAAAGGCTGCTGCTGGGTTTGAGAAAGCTTGTAGCTGTGTGAAAAAGCAATTTTTTGTAATACAATCGACACATTTAAACAGTTCCACTAAAAAGTGATGGGGTTTTTTAAAACACTGCCTAGGAAGACAGAGCTAGGTTTCTGTACCTTCCTTGATTGATACTGCGAATAATAATAAGTTAATTATCGATCCTTTGGAAAAAGTAGAAGTTTTGAATAGTCATTTTTCTCAAGTATGGACACCGTCAAGTATTAACAAAGCATTTCCTATCTTACCACATTCAAAGATCGTCATGTCATCGTTCAAAATTTATGAGTTAGAAGTTTTCGAACTACTTTCTAAACTGGACACTTCCAAAGGCTGTGCACCTAGAATTTCGAACCGAATGTTAAAGGAAGCTGCGTCTGTCATCTCGCCTGTACTAACTCTTATTTTTAATGAATCTCTTTCATCAGGTTGTTTTCCAGAAATGTGGAAGTTAGGGCACGTTTTTAGTCTTTATAAATCCGAGGGTGCACAAATACTATCTAATTATAGGCCTATTACACTCTTAAATAGTGTATCAAAGGTTTTTGAAAGAATCATTTACAATCATGTGTATGGCTTTGTAAGAACGAAGAAGTTTTTCCATGCAAATCAGGCCGATTTTCTTCGAGTTCAGTCAACAATATCTCAGTTAATACGAGTAGTTCATCAGATAGCAATAACATTTGATCAACGGATGCCTGTTCTCTCGACTTTTCTGGACTTCAGTAAGGCATTTGACAAAGTCAACCATGATGGTTTGTTCTACAAACTTCGCTGCGCGAGGTTGTCCGATGCCTTGCTAAAAATGGTTTGAGAGCTACCTGAAGAATCGTCGCATCGGCACAATGATCGATGGAAGTACTTCGTCAGAACGTTTTTTGTTAAGTTCAGTTCCGCAAGGCTCGGTTTTAGGACCTCTCTTTTTTCTAGTTTATATCAATGACTTGCCAGGTATTTTAGATAACACTTGTTTTCCTTTTGCTGATGACTGTTCCATTCACGTGAACGACAAAGATTTAGATAGAGCTGTTGCGAAAATGAATAAGGATTTGGAAAAAGTATCTACATGGTCAGTAAATTGGAAACTTCCACTAAACATAAAAAAATGTGTAGGTATGCTCTTTTCTCGCACCACTCTGGCTATAAATTTACCATCTTTGAAAATAAACAAAATTTCGTTAGACTACGTTCAACAACAAAAATATTTAGGTCTCATTTTTAGCCAGAAGTTAGATTGGGATCCCTATATTGTCAATTTAATTAGTTCGGCAGGAAAGTCAGTAGGATCAATCAAATTTCTAAGTAGATCGTTGTCACGTAAGGCACTCCCTTTAGCTTATAATGCCTTTGCACGTAAGAAAAGTTATCGACATATTCGTGTTTTTCCATCCCATATTCGTTTGGTGATCTGTGCCAATTCGCTTTTTTGTTGTGCCAAAAAGAGCTCATTGAGCTCTCTTAGAAAACATATAATTTATGGCACTTCATTATTCTGAACGAATATGGGATCCAAAAAACGTTTTTTGTCCGCTGGTAAAAAAGCGACATCTTTGTATTTCCTTCCCATATTCGTTTCTTGCGGTGTGCCACTTCTATTCTCTCTTGTGCCAAGTGTATTTTGA